CCACCCTCGGTCAACTCCGGTCAACGCCGTCAACGCCTCTGGTCAACCCTCTCGGTCAACCCTTCGGTCAGCTATGGCTGCCGGGTCTCCTTCCTCGCCAACCTTCTTCTTCTTCTTCACCTCCCTCGCCTCCTTTCTCCCCGCTGTCTTCTTCTCTTTCTCTCTCTTTTTTTTTTTTTTTTTCTTTGATCGGCCTCCTCTTCACCTCTTGATATGGCCGCTCCTCCTCCTTCCTCGGTCTCTGCCCCTCTGTCCTTCTCCCTCCTACTTCGTCACTCCGTGGTACAGGCTCTGTGGCTATGGCCGCTGTCTTTCTCCTTCGTGGACTGCGCAGCAACTTCACAGGTATGTAATAGCCAATCTTGTATCATTCATCTCTCTCTCTCTCTCTCTCTCTCTCTCTCTCTCTCTCTCTCCTTCTTCTTCTTCGTTGTGGTCTGCTTGCAGGTGCGCGGCGGCTTCCTCGTCCTCAGGTCCGCTATGGCGGACTATCTCCTCATGCGGCCACCTTGGCTATGGCGCATCAGGCCCTGCATACGACGCCGCGCATGGAATAGCGGGTACCAGCTCCGAATGCAATCAGACTCGTTCTCAAACACACTTTTCATGCATGTAAACAGCAACGCAGCATACTGGCGACATGCGCCCACTCAAAACTCAGAGATATGGCTTTCAGATACGAGTTCACTCTCAATTGGCTATGGCGACTTCAATGCCCAAACATCTCACTGTTCACATACACTGGATCACCCTGGATATCCCACACGCATCACTCTAACACTCGAACACACACACACACTCACTACTAACTACAGTTATGGCAGCTATCACTGCATCTAACCTATCGCTATGCTAACTCCCTCTCTCTTGCCCACTGCGTCCTCCGGGCTCATCTGCAGACCTCCTTGCACAAGTCACTGTGGCAGCGCTTCCGCATGGCTCCCGCAGGAATGAATAATGGCTGGGCGCTGCCTCTTGATTTATACTTCAGAAACTCGTTGGTCTGCCCTTTGCCATCGGCCCTTGGTGCTCACAGCCCCCCCGTGGTACTTTCTGGACCGGACTGGGACTGACTGGACCTTCCGCTGACTGACTGTGGACTCACCGCTATCCTACCGACGTTGTACTGCTGTTGCACTGCGGTTTAGGCCACCACTTGCCTCGCCACTTGACCACTTGCCCACTTGCCTACCTTCTAGAAGGTCTACAGCTAAGCTTCCGGAACTCACTAAGACTTCTACGCTATAGACCTACAGATCGAACCCCTGCTGCCTATGGACCTACGACAGACCTACCAACTGTCTGCGAATACACAGGTCACAGGTTCAATGCTCGGGATCTATACAGATACTGTACATAGGTAGGGTGAGGTCTAGGGATCGAACCCTGGGTACTGCATCCACTACTGCTAAAAGGTGAAAACCGTGTCATCAGGGACATTTTGACATATATCTCAGTTTATGGGGGTATTTCGCAAATTACAACTCGCTCCCCCAGAGGAAGGCCTCTCTCTCTCTCTCTGTCTTTCTTATACACACACATACAGACACACACACACACACACACATGCGCAGATCGAGTATACTTCCCCTCGTTTCCCAATCCCAACTCTCTCATCAGACCCCTCCCCTCTCTCTCTCTCTCTCTCTCTCTCTCTCTCTCTCTCTCTCTCTCTCTCTCTCT